TAGATAGATAGATAGATAGATAGATAGATAGATAGATAGATAGATAGATAGATAGATAGATAGATAGATAGATAGAAAGATAGATATTTAATAGATAGATAGATAGATAGATAGATAGATAGATAGATAGATAGATAGATAGATAGATAGATAGATAGATAGATAGATAGATAGATAGATAGATAGATAGATAGATAGATAGATAGATAGATGTTTAATAGATAGATAGATAGATAGATAGATAGATAGATAGATAGATAGATAGATAGATAGATAGATAGATAGATAGATAGATAGATAGATGTTTAATATATATATAGATAGATAGATAGATAGATAGATAGATAGATAGATAGATGTTTAATATATAGATAGATAGATAGATAGATAGATAGATAGATACATAGATAGATAGATAGATAGATAGATAGATAGATAGATAGATAGATGATAGATAGATAGAAAGATAGATATTTAATATATAGATAGATAGATGATAGATAGATAGATAGATAGATAGATAGATAGATAGATAGATAGATAGATAGATAGATAGATAGATAGATAGATAGATAGATAGATAGATAGATAGATAGATAGATGTTTAATATATAGATAGATAGATAGATAGATAGATAGATAGATAGATAGATAGATAGATAGATAGATAGATAGATAGATAGATAGATAGATAGATAGATAGATAGATAGATAGATAGATAGATAGATAGATAGATAGATGTTTAATATATAGATAGATAAGCTTCCCCTTTCGTTTCACAGGGGGAATGACATCTGATGGCCTCACTGAAGTTGTGAGATAATGTTTCTCCTTTACTTGCATAGAGCATAGGTTAATCTGGCACTGGCTGTAGGCTAGGATTAATTATTTGTAGACTGAGAAGCAGCTCAATATGAGCTGATTGTCTTGAACAGGTTTGACAGATGAAGCTGAATAGTCTGTGATTAATGTGAACACAGGGCACAGCTGGATCTGTATCTTGAAAGTTGATGAGTTGATATAGAATATAACAATTTGCTAGAAGTAATTCAAAAGTTGCCTTTACATACCTTTTCAGCTGTAAAATATAGTAGGCAACAGTGAGCATAAGTCATGAATATGAATACCTTTTTCACTGTGCAACATTTATGTATATGTACACAAAAAATATGATATGACATGTTTAACTGCTTTTCTGCTTATTTTTATGAATGTTAGATACACCCCATTTTTATGTGTTTTTCAGAGCTGGCGCAAAGGGAGGAGTATCATCAGGTTCCGTTGCAGGTGTCTTTCAGCACCAAACCTTAAACAGCTTTACAGTCTGTGCCCTGCCTCCTTCTCCACTTTGGGTCCATCCTTTGAAGGTTTCACCTAAACTCACTCTGGTATTAGATCTTTTATGGACACTCCTCTTCTGAGAACAACATCTTTTGGGCTCAGAAGCAGCTGCTTGACTTGCCATTTTCCAGTGCCAGCCTCACTGTGTTTGCAACCTACAATGGTGCCCTCTATTGGCTGGTAGATATAAACATGGCGTTTCGTCAAAATAAAAATTAGATTATTTTAACTAGTTTTCTTGTCCGGGGATTGGACCGCCAAGGCTCCCGCCTTGGTCTGCCACCCGATTCGCATTGCACCGGACCCTTCATGTTCCTCCTGCGGGTGGTGGGTCCACAGTTGGACGAGCCCATGTATCCGGTTCGGGCTGGGCCCGGCCGGGCCCCATGGGCGAAAGCCCGGCCACCAGGCGCTCGCTCACGGGCCCCAACCCCAGGCCTGGCTCCAGGGTGGGACCCCGGTAACCCTCCGGGCCGGGTACTCCGACTCTTCGTTTTAACCGCCATGAAAGATCCTTCGAACCGTTCTTTGTCTCACCCTTCACCTAAGACCAATTTGTCATGGGAGACCCTACCAGGGGCACTAAGTGCCCCAGACAACATAGCTCCTAGGATCATTAGGGCACTCAAACTCCTCCACCACGATAAGGTGACGGTTCAAGGATGAGTTAGCCAAGCGGGGTGCAGCAGTGGCAGTTGCCGAGGCAAAATCTCGGGCGTGGGAGGAGTTTGGTGAGGCCATGGAGAAAGACTATCGATCGGCTCCAAAGAGGTTCTGGCAAACTGTCCGGCGCCTCAGGAGAGGAAGGCAGCAACTCGCTCACACTGTTTACAGTGGGGATGGGGAGCTGCTGACGTCAACTGAGGCTATAGTCGGACGGTGGAAGGAATACTTTGAGGAGCTCCTCAATCCCACCAATGCGCATTCCGAGGAGGAACCAGAGCTGGGAGGCCTGGGGATGGACTGTCCGATCTCGGGGGCAGAAGTTGCTGAGGTAGTCAAACAACTACACAGCGGCGGAGCCCCGGGGGCGGATGAGGTTCGTCCTGGGTATCTCAAGGCTATGGATGTTGTAGGGCTGTCATGGTTGACACGTCTCTACAACATTGCGTGGTCATCGGGGGCAGTTCCTAGGGAGTGGCAGACCGGGGTGGTGGTCCCCATCTTTAAGAAGGGTGACCTGAGGGTGTGTTCCAACTATAGGGGGATCACACTCCTCAGCCTCCATGGAAAGGTCTACTCCAAGGTACTGGAGAGGAGGGTCCGATCGATAGTTGAATCTCAGATAGAGGAGGAGCAATGTGGTTTTCGTCCTGGCCGTGGAACTGTGGACCAGCTCTATACCCTTGCAAGGGTGATGGAGGGGGCATGGGAGTTTGCCCAACCAATCCACATGTGCTTTGTGGATTTGGAGAAGGCTTATGACCGTGTCCCCAGGGGCACCCTGTGGGGGACGCTCCAGGAGTATGGGGTGGGTGGCTTTCTGTTAAGGACCATTCAGTCCCTTTACCAGAGGAGCGTGAGTTTGGTCCGCATAGCCGGTAGTAAGTCGGACCTGTTCCCAGTGAGGGTTGGACTCCGCCAGGGCTGCCCTTTGTCACCGGTTCTGTTCATCACTTTTATGGACAGAATTTCTAGACGCAGCCGTGGTGTGGAGTGTGTCGAGTTTGGTGGCAGGAGAATCTCGTCTCTGCTTTTTGCGGATGATATGGTCCTCCTAGCTTCATCCAGCTCTGACCTTCAGCTCTTGCTGGGTAGGTTCGCGGCCGAATGTGAAGCGGCTGGGATGAGGATCAGCACCTCCAAATCTGAGACCATGGTTCTCGACCGGAAAAGGGTGGCTTGCCACCTCCGGGTCGGGGGAGAGGTCCTACCTCAAGTGGAGGAGTTTAAGTATCTCGAGGTCTTGTTCACGAGTGAGGGTAGGAGGGATCGGGAGATCGACAGGCGGATTGGTTCGGCGTCTGCAGTGATGCGGACGCTGAGCCGATCTGTCGTGGGGAAGAGGGAGCTGAGCCAGAAAGCCAGGCTCTCGATTTACCGGTCGATCTACGTCCCAATCCTCACCTATGGTCATGAGCTTTGGGTAATGACCGAAAGAACGAGATCGCGGATACAAGCGGCCAAAATGAGTTTCCTCCGTAGGGTGGCCGGGCTCAGCCTTAGAGATAGGGTGAGGAGCTCGGACATTCGGGAGGGACTCGGAGTAGAACCGCTGCTCCTCCGGATCGAAAGGAGCCAGTTGAGGTGGTTTGGGCATCTGGTCAGGATGCCTCCTGGACGCCTCCCCGGGGAGGTGTTTCGGGCATGTCCTGCCGGCAGAAGGCCCCCGGGTCGACCCAGGACACGTTGGAGAGGTTACATCTCCAATCTGGTCCGGGAACGCCTTGGGGTCCTGCCGGAGGAGCTGGTGGACAAGGCCGGGGAGAGGACGGCCTGGAGCTCCCTAGTTGGGATGCTGCCCCCGCGACCCGGACCCGGATAAGCGGAGGAAGACGAGACGAGACGAGAGATTATTTTAAAATTAAAATATAGCTTTTTAAGGAAATACTGTACCTTCATTCTGCACACTTCTAAACACCCCGTGGAGGTATTTAAAAAATAGCTTTTTATTAAATTGTTCCATATTCAACCTTTAAGGAGCGTGGCCTTGATTGCAATAAAATCAAGTTATCATGTCCAAGATAAGCGGAAGTCCGTGGCAGCGCTGAGACCACTTCTATACCCTCTTTTTACCGTCATTGTGGATTTTTTTTTGTAAAAAGAACATGATTGCACCACATTACCACCACGGTTAATATTTGGTAGGGAAGCCATTGTTGCAATTACAGAGGTCAAACGTTTCCTGCAGGTCCTAACTGGGTTTGCACACACTGCAAGAGATTTTAGCCCACTCCTTCACACACATCTCTAGGTCTGTCAGGTTTTGGGGCTGTTGCTGAGCAACAGGGAGTTTCAGCTCCCTCCAAAGACTTTCAATTGGATTTCGGTCTGGAGACCGGCTAGGCCACTCCAGAACCTTGGTATTCTTATGGAGCCACTGGGTTATCCTGGCTGTGTGCTTCAGGTCATGTTGGAAGGCCCAGCCACAACCTATCTTCAATACCCTTGACTGGGGGAAGGAGGTTGCAATCATCCCGTCCCCTTGGCAGAAAGTACATATTTTTTTTGCTGAGCTTAAGTATGGTTTTAGTAAGGATTCTACGCAATGTTTTATAAATGAGACCCCATGACATCTGATGACTTTAGCAGGGGATTTTTCCATGCAATGCATATTGAAGCGTAGTGCTCTACTGACAGTGACCTCTCTTCATGCCACTGACCTTTATTATCATCAGTGATAGCTCTATGCACCATAACTCTTGCTGATTGCCAGGTGTTTAAATACTTATGAGCAGCAGTGCAATACAAATAAAGTCTTTAAAAATTCTACAATGTGATTTCCAGATTTTTTAAATGCGGTCTCTCACGGTGAGGATGCAACTACTATGTGAATTTCAGACACCTCCATGATTTCTGAGTTGTAGAACTTGGAAAATCGCAGAGTGTTCAAATACTTTTGTTCGTTACTGTAAATGTTACTAACAGAGTAAAGACTAATAATAGCAATAATAACCTTCAGAAAATCTGAACTGTTAAAACAATAAAAACAATACAATCAGATGAACAAATGGATCTTCTTCATTTACACTTTTCTTTTACTGGCAAATCAATGTTTACAAAACAGCATCAGCATGTGCAGGGAAACAGGAATAAACAAGAAAATGAGACTTGAGAATAATAAAACAATACTACTTATTTACTTCCACAGGAAAAATGTTTGATAAACAACACATTTGACAAATAGCAAAAACAGATAAATACACACACATATAAAAAGAAGCATAAAAGGTAATGATTGTGGTCTGGTACTCTGGATTTGTTCCACAAACTCTGGTCCTTTTCTGCTTTCATTTCAAGTCAGGTTTCCAATGGTTCAGTGGTGAAAAGCACAATAAATTAACACAAAAACATCACTGTGGGACCAGCCGGTGTGCAGCTGGAGCTAAGAACAGACTAGTTCAATCTTTTTCCCAACTCGCCTAGAAGTGATTATTTGTTGGAACGCAATAAACTGTTTACAAAAGGGGTTGACTGCAATAAAAAGAACTAAAAAACATAAAAAGTTACAGTTTGAGATCTAAAATGTAAATTTCACTACGCGGTCCCATTAGCTCAAGACCCTGATTCTATCACAATGCGCTATTTTGGTTGTCATGTGCTTACGTTAGTACCTGTTTAGCTAATTAATTGTGGTTAGTTATTGCAGCTAACTGGCACATCCTTAAACAGAACCAAACCAATCTGCCTGAAAATACACAATAAAAACGTCATGCAGCTCAACATACGGTAGTTAACATGTTAAGTTGGCAGAAATGTTATTCATTATTATTCTGGGTTGTTTGTCTCTAAACAGCTTAATGAAAAGGATTTAACCTTTTCCTGTCTACCAATCTGTAAAAAAAAATAATAAAAAAGTGAGCCTAAAAATTCCATTTAATGAGTCAATCTGTGATAAATTAAAAAAAAAATAGGTTGACAGAAGTAAGGATATTTTTGAAATCACACCGGTTTATGTTGTGTAACAACTCGGAGCAACATGACGGAGCTCCAGTTATCGCCACGTCTTCGTTTAGAGAACACTTGGTATTCACGCTGCAGAAACACTTCAGCTTTCTGAAAACTTATTATGCAAAATAATGTGACAGAATTCACAGAATTCATATGGATCAACCTTTAACACTCCAAGTGTTCAGTTCTAGCTCGTCTTTTTGGCTGCTAAAACACCAAAAATGTACCATAGCGTCTGTCGCCAACTAGAGGTCAAATGACATGGAGAGGTCACGGTCAGCTGCTGGCCAATATCTACACGTTTTTTTTAACCTTATTTTCATGTTAAAATGTGACTAATACCATCAATTGATGCACAGATTTTCTAAAGCTGAATCAGTTTTGAAGTCTGAGTTTAACCAGCTATTTTGGACACTGCTCAGTGTTAAAATCTCACACATAACTTAAGTGAATCAAACAAATCACTTAGCTGACCAAGTCTTAAAGCTGCTATAGCAAATGAGCTTAAATCCTTTCTTCATGCCTCTTAACTCATTCACTGCCAATGATGACTAAAGTCGTCATTTGCATGTTTTTACTGTGTGGGCATCGGAATGAGCCCCCGCACCGTGAGAACAAACATCTCAGGTCTAAATACAATCTTCATCCGCATACGTCACATGATCAGGAAGCAGAACATCCATGTGTTAGGAGATCATTTTTGGGCTGTTCCTGTAAAAAAAAGGTGAGGCGCGAACCGGAAAATTTCTGCCGATCACAATTCAACAACAGATAATGAAAGAACGGATAACGCTCGAAACGCGCAGATTCTTCCTGATGTAAGAGGTGAGTCTCCGCTTTGTTTTGGCGTCGACATCGTCCTAGCGCGCAGCGTTCTGTGACTCTTAAAAAACCAGTAAAAACTCTGAGAAACACTGGCAGCGAATGAGTTAATGACGTTCTAACTTCGTATTGCTACAATTATAATGTGGAGATTAAAAAAGTGAAAATAATAATGCGATTCTCTTGCACTTGTCTAAAAACCTCAGCCAATAACACAGCTCGAACCGAAACATCCGGTTATCGGTTCCGCCGAGCCGCCGCACCTCCCTCATTACACACTCGCGTTTTTAGGAACAAAACACCACTGGTGTGAGAGGTTCTCTGCTCAATAATATCAGAGAAGGAGAAATAGCCGGCTGCTACCACTTCAGAATTAGGGCAAACTACCAGAGTCCCAAAAACAAAAAAACACCATTTGAAGTCAAAAGTTGTTTGGACGTAGAAAACTGTGACCGGTGTTTAGCGTTAATACATTTCCTCTGGGAATGCAGGTTTCCGGTTCCAGTGGACACAGAACCAGGGAAGATACTCGAGGGGAGGGGGTGGGTGTTTCGTGATCGTGTTTGCAATCAAAACCTAGCTTGTTTGCCACTCTGCTATAGCAGCTTTAAATATTCAAAACTGGTAAATAAACAGAAATTTTAGCTGAAAATTCATCAAGCAGATGTTATTCAGAATGTAAAAATAAAGTTAAATTCTACAGCAGCACCAGGCAGCCTGAGGAGGTGACTGTCTGTACATCGGCTCTACTTAGAAGGTATATCGACTGATGCTGATGTATAATATCAGCCCGGTATACCACCTGATCGATACTTTGGTCACTGCAGTCATTTGTGTGTTTTTAGTAACACGAAGGCTGTAGTTTCTGTTGAACAACTTACGATTTTGCCCACTCAAAGGAGGAAAAGAAAGCTAACAAGGTAGGTTTTAGCAGAAGGAGCAATTCATTAGGAAAATAGATAATTTTCAGTTCCCTTTTGGTTCTTTGGGAAAACAGCAAAGTTGACTCTGGCTTCAAAGCAGCTTCTCAAACTTGGCTCATGTAGTGAGAGCTGTCATCTATGAACCAGGGCTCTTGAACATCTTCTGCAGGTCGCTGAAAGGATCCTCTCTGAATACCCTAGAGGTTTACAGAATAATAAAACTGTACTTGAGTTAAATCACAATAACATCACAGCAAACAGCTGATTTGGGGGTTTACAAAAGACTTTAACATTGTGTTCTTTTGCATTTATCAGCCCAGTTCAGTCGTTTTGATTTTTACTACAGAAATGTGCCCTCTAGCTGTGAAGCGTGCTTACCTGGTCCTGGTACTTGTGGTTCTGGTGGTAGGTGAGCTCTCTAGCTGCTGTGGTTTTCATCCTGACTGCCCCTGGTCTGTCCAGAGAACGAGACCGTGGTGCTTTGAGCTGACTGCGCTGGTGCCACGACTTCAGCTGCTCATTCACCACTTGGTGTGTGTGACCATTAGCGTGGTAGTACAGTTGGTCCTTCTGTGCAGGGGGGGTGACTCTGATACTAGGTGCTCTCTGGTGGGGTACGGCTGCATCTCTATAACAGTAGTCGTATCTGTTGGGAACATGCTGATGAAAACGGCTTCGAGCCAAGTCCTGATTAGGTGGGTAGACCATGTCTGTGTTGTAATAGGTTCTCTGCATCCTGGGGCTGAGCAGGTAACTTTGAGGATGATAAAAGCTAGTGGAGGGGGGAGCTGGAGGTCCATAGCTGCCTTGTGGGCTGGAAAGAGGGAACGGAGACAGATAATGTCTGGAAAAGTTGGAAGGAAACTCTTGACACGGGGAGCTGCCGTAAGAAGAAAAGGATTTTTCAGAGTTGCTATCCTCATGATGTAGAAAGTTCTTCGTAGGAGAAAGAGAGTCTGGTAAAATGATTCCGGATTCTGTAGGTCGCCTCCGAGGAACTCTGGTGCGACCGCGGTCTTTGAGAGCCGAGGATTCAGGGCTGGACAGCCTGTAGAAACCACAACGAGAAATAAATCAATCAAGATGTCTGTGAGCAGTCCTGTGGGTGTTTGAGGTGTAGCCACCTGAGGGACAGTTGTCTGTAGATGTGTTTCTCTGGCGTGGAGGGCGTGCTGTTAGAATGGGAGTGGCCCAGCCTCAGATGGGACAGCTGCTGTGGTAAACTGGTCTGTGATGGGCAAGCCTCCAGCTGTGGCAACCTTTCAGACTTGTCTGACCTGCTGAACGCACAAAACAGCTTTTCAGACGACCCGTTTGCACGACCCGAGTCATGAAGTGATTTCTTCATGACTCTTTGATGACAGATAAACATTTACAGGTTTGTTTGTCCACCAGATGTTGTAGCGCAGCTTAACCAACAGACGGCAGCGTTGTACATCACAATCATCCACTACAGGAAGTCAGAGCAGTAGTGTAATGCTAGAAAATGCTTTCTTAAGAGTTTGTGGGAAGCATCCATTATGAGGAATAATTGCATACAATGACAATATGGTCAGTACTTATAAATCATATTCTTTGCTTTCCTGACGTTGACGTGATGGTTGATCTGCATTACCTCATGTTGCTGGAGGTGTGTGACTTCTTGCTCTTCTGGTACGGCTGGTCTAGACTTGACTCTGTCCAGGGGGAGTTCTGGATGGGAGGTTGGTCATACACACAGCTTGAGTTGAAGCTCAAGTTGGAGTCAAGGCTAGGGCAGGGAGACTGACAGGAGTTCAACGGTGAGAGCCGAGGAGCCACGGAGTGAGACATGTAGGAGCCGTCTTCTGAGGAATGTGTGGACATGAGGGGAGGATCCGTTTCCACCGGGTAGGAGGATGGCTGCGACGACTGGCTTGTAACTTCTGTTAAAGAAAAACAAATTAAAACTGAGGAATGATGAACATTAATCATGACCACAAACAACATTTAGGAGCTGCTTCTTCGAACAGAAACCATGAAAAGTATTCAGAATAAAGTGTTTTCATATGTTTCATAGTCCCGAGATCAGATGGCTGGCATTATGCTTGGATGCTAAACAGAGCGGTGCTCACCAAGTCCAACAAGCTGCATCTTACCTTCATCCTGCACCACAGAGTCAGATAAAGAACTGTCATCAGATGTGCCGAGATCTGAAACAAAAGAACAAGTTCAGCATTCATCAAAGGGAACAGGTTTGAGTTCCAAACAGAAAACAACTTCAGAGGATTCATCATCCTGTGCTTTCCCCAGACAGCAGTCACCTTTTGAAATGTTAAAAGCGGGGAGTGGTGATGATCGTCCGCGCTCCAGTCGCAGCTGAAAGGTCATTTCTTGAAGCTTCTTGAGTTTCTTCTCCTCTACTTTGCACTGCTGCAAGCGGCTCTTCCTGACCGCCTTACTCAGGTGATGCTCCTCACACAGTTTGCGCGCAGCTTCATAAATCTTCATCTGGAGAGCTAGCTCAGCATCGGCTAAACTCAGCTCTGAGTCCTGTTAAGGGTGCAGGAGAGAGAAACTGCAGCTTAGTCTGGAAACGAAGCACTTCCTCAGGATTATCACGACTCGTTAGAGGGAAGGACTGAAACCCTGCAGCTTGTAAACGTACCTTTGATCCTTCAAGGATGTTTTGCTCATCCAGTTTGAACGCGGCCCCGATGCGTCGGCGAATCTGAGGAGGCTTCTCTCCTGACAGGAGAGGGTAATCTTTTGGCAGCTGACCCGTCAACTCCTAAACACAAAGAGAACAATCAGAATGAAAAAGTCTCACCTAAACACAACTAACAGCGTCCTTTTAATATTAGATTGTTCGTCAAAACAAAGACTAATTTTAACCCACACCTAATAAATCCTTTGTTCAGTTTCTGTTTGACTCTTTCAGGAACAGTTTATCCACCAGTCTCCATGGCAGTTATGAAACACTGTGTCCTATCTGATCTCCTAACAAGTTTAGACATACAGGTTCAAGGAAACAGTTACACAATTCTCTATTAGCAGAGATTTCCTTTCATAACCACATTCTTTGGATTTCACTCCAACAGATTTGTTGTCTGATAAACCAAAGAGCGTGGCAATGCAGCACTCAGTTTTATTGAAACATTTCACTCACGCAAATCAGAGCCAGATATTTTTTTATACATAAACACAACCATAAAGTGGCCAATGAGCCCAGTTATTCTGTTTCACTGAGGGGGAGGAGGAATCTTGATTCCCATGAGTTCACCTGAGCATGTCCTAACAGGAGCGCCAAGCCTGGGTGTCAGGAGAAGACAATGATCAGTCCTGGGACTTTACCCTAGAGCAACACACACACACGATTAAGTGTGTGTCCAGCTTTTAACCCTCTGGAGGCAGGCATTGCAACAGTTAAAACCTACCTACCTGGTTACGCCACACATGTATTTCATGAGCATTTTTTAACTCAGAAGTACCCCTGAAGGACTTAGTTGTTCGTCCTTTTATCAAAACTTATTTTGAGCCCGAGAGGGTTAAACGGCTTTAAGTGGCTAATTTATGGACCTTCAGAGAGCAGAGACAATAAAAAAGGACAAACAGATCTGAAAATGGTGTATGAAACACCAGGGCGACAAGTTCAAAGATGAAAAACACAACAAGTGTTTTAATGTCATTAAAAAAAAGAGGATGAAGTGAATAGGTTTCTATGTTTTTAGCTTCTCTGACTGGTCATTGTTGCATCAAACCAATGTAAAAATGATCATCAGAGCAGAATCCATTTTTTACTCTTTTCTTTTGTTTCATGTGCTGAGTGTCACCGCCTAGCAGCCAAACGATGGCCCTCTGCAGACGACTTCAGCCGTTTTCACCTAACGAATTGATGCATTGTGTCCTGGAGGATGTGGACAGTTCAGCTCCAAATGTTCTGGAGTTGCTGTTCACACTGGTGCTTTCAAAGGACACCTTTTCTGACCACATCATAATTTAATGAATATAACATGAAAACATAGCTTTGCATCTGCGGCACGTAACAGCATCTAATTTGATGACGTCTTTGTGCCGACTCCTGCATCACATGCATCTAAACACATCAAGACACACATTTTTATTCCCAGTAAAGCCAGAAGAGAACCTACAACAACCACACCTCATCTGACCCTTTCTCTTCATCTTTCTGGGATGCAAGTTCAGAGTTCTCTGTTTAAAATGTTCAGAGTTTATGTTCTTGTACCACCTGCGTCGTCTCAGCTCCCAGATGTTTCAGGCAGGGTTTTGGCTAACCAGCAGTAAAACGCGTCATCAAAAGTGCACAAAACTGCCCCACCAGTTTAATCCTCTCTAAGAAGGCGGTGAATCATCAAACAACATGTTGACTGGAACAGCTGACTTCATTACGCCGCGTTCTGTTGAGTTTAGTTCACCAAACCCTTTGCTCCACCTTAACCTGTGGTCCACACGATTACTATAAAATATGATCTGAGAACTTTACTTACAGCTTCTCGGATGCAGAGCTTCTTCAACTGTAGGAGGCAACTCTCCAGCTGGTCTTGGAGCGCCTGGTGTTTAACCTTCATGGCCCGTGTGTGCGTGGTCACATCCTTTGTGTGGGTTGTTGGGCTGTCAGATCCTGCAACATGCAACAGGAAGAAGAAAACAGTGTTTTTGAAACCGTTTTTAAGTAATGATTTTCTTTACATCTTAAAAGTGTGGGACACGTGTTTAATCAATACATTTGCAGTGGTCTCTGGGGAATGAATGCCTTGCAAGCCGTACTCGGGGCAAAAAAAGGCCGTAATTGCTTGGATCAGTATGAACAAGTTTGCTGCAGCAGAGAGTGGCAGCCGACGGCAGGATTTGTAATCTTATTTCCTGATATTTGAACATCTACCCTCGGATTGGTCAACAGCAACGTGTCTCTACCATTGCTTGCAATGTTGATGTTTTATCTCCACAAACACGTTTTTCTGTGTTGGAGTTGCTAATGCTAACAGTTAGCTTCTACTATATGAAACATTCTCAGCTGTTTCCTGGACGCTAAACCAACAACAGCCTTCCTTGTCGTGAGTCAGATGGGTCAGTCCATGAATGCTGAGTGACAGGGTGACGCAGATCTTTCAGGCTTTTTAAATCTGAGAGTTTCACCGTCTATTTTCTATCAGAAGCTAATGCAGGAGATAGGTGAAGGAGACTGTTTTCATTTCTGATTATAATACACATTGTCATTAAAATAGGATTTTTTACAGTTCCACACCTTTAAATATAAATCTTGCTTTATTGTTTTCTAGAAAGTAATCAAACAACACAAGAATGGAACATGCATTTTTTAATTAGAACACACAACTTTCATTTACTGCACTATCGACTACAGCCAATGACAAAATACAATCGAAACAGCTGTGTTGTTGTTTTTTCTGTTACAAATCAAACAAAGAACCTTTTGTTTTAGTGTCATCGAAACTACTAAACCAGCATCAGGATCTTTGTGACGATAAACAATGAGAGGTCTTGACTGCCGCTGTCTGTAGCCTTGGTGACCGCTGACATTAAGATTAGTCTCGGGGCAGTGGGAGTGGCATAGGGTGAAATGCATTGAACGCCACATACCTTCAGAGATTACTAGAAGAATCCCTGCAGGTACGGACAATCACTTGAGGTGCAACAGGAAAGAAATGTGACAGCACTACAATAGGCCCAAGAATCTCCCCTTTTCCTTGTAGACAAACACTTTAGTCATTGAGTGGAACAAAAAGCGCGTGGCCCAATTAAAGCCTAGGAATGTCAGAAACAACTAAACGTGCAGACGAAACTACGAGTAGAAAACTACAGCTACAGCTGGTTTCATACAGGACGGGTGTGAAGGACAAAAGTTAGGTTTACTGTTTCTGCTTAATCTTTATTCATTTATGCACATTATTTCTGTAGAGACTATTAATAAGTATTAATAAGTAACCAAAAATCTTAGGATCTGCAACAATATATTCAATATTTTTTTATATTGCATCACTTAAAAGTAAACTAGAACTCAAACCTCCTCATTTAAAAAAAGTTAAAATGTTGAATTGAAGTCCGCGATCCAGTTTCTGACCTTAGACAAAACAGCTACACTTGCAGAACCAAAACAGACCAAAATCACATTCTAGAACCAGGGAGAAGTCCAAAAGTTTTACTTGACACCAAGACATTAAACTGGTTATTATTGGTGTGATTTCAACAACAGCATCCAGTCTTGTCAAATGTCAAAACAAACTCAACTAACAGGAATTCTGCAACAAAAATAAAAGAAACCATTTCCCTAAAGAAGCCTAGGCCAAGTTGGACAGAAACTGCCTGAAGTTATGTCATTTGAGTCAGCGTTGGCTCAGCGTGAGGACTTAAAAAGTTCACAAGGAACAAATCCAGTAGTTTGCAGTTTCAAGTCGAGTCAGCAGTGTGGAGCAGCTGGTTCCTGGTTTCTGTCTGAAGCTTCAGGCTACATTAGCTGCTTCTAGCATCAGACAACCAAACCTCTGACTAAACTCTGGAGCATTTGCATTCTATGTAATGTTAGACAACGGAGTAAAAATATGCATCTGTCTAGTACGCCAGCACAGTTTTGGTCATTTTAAAAACTCTATCAACAACAGGACAGCTTACCATGCTAAAACAGTTATTTCATAATCTGTGACTTGTGTTTGTCATGCTGCATAATCTTCAGCTCAGTCACAGTAAATCCCATTAGCCTCCATCCCTGCAGTTTACACAAAACAACTTGTTTTCTTTGACAAAATAGATCATTTGAACCCAGTTTTGACAAGTTAGCATAGGGAGACTGTCACTTCTGCATCATGGGTCCCCGGAAGAACGAAAAAGTGAAAGCAAGTCAACGGGGCTAAAAGGGCAATTTTCTAATCCACTTTGCCTTACGCCCTGGATCACACATATGTTGTACTGCAATTTAAATGAAAACTATTGATGGGTGTCTCGACCATGCCAGTCACGTACTTATGAGATTTATTAGCTTGTAAAAGTTTGTAATTAGCATGACTACAAACTAGAAATCGGCACGTTGCGTATGTGATGTCACCACATAATCTCCTCCCCCCAGCGTAGCTGCTACTTACCAAATGACCAGATTTATGGTGGTTCTTTCCTCATGTGGGAAGTTTGCTGAACTTACAGCCATGCTCCCTCAGTTTTCTCCATGTCTGGTTCGATGATGTTACTTTCGTGAAGCACATTTGTAGTCCTGGACTTATTTTCACACAAAACCTAAAATATAGTTTCCCCTCATTTGAAAATAAGCACGTTCTCGGTATCAAAATGTGTCTAAAATTCACCGACATCATACGTGAAATCCATGGCACAAAACAAGCGGAATTAGAAAACAGCGTTTTTAGCCCCGTTGACTTGCACTCCTTTTTGTTCTTCCTGTGATGCGAAGTGACTTAGGCTCCCTATTGCAAATGAAACGCATCCAGCATGGTGTGTGTTTGAACTTTTTAAGTCTGTAACATCTGATGTTTTGAAAAGATGCTGTTTAACTAAATATGATGTGAAGCTGATGCTAATTCATTTTGTATGGTTTTGACATAATGAAACACTTAAAGTAAGTAAAACTTCTATATTTTGACCTAAAAACAAAGATAGTTAACAATAGTCATACTTTATAGGCTGTATTACTTTTATAAATCTCATTTATACATTTTTTTCCAAAGTGGGTGGTTTAGGTTGTTTTTACGCTCTGAGTGGTTCTTCAACTCAGACTAAACAAAGACAGCTATGTCCCTGAAAAGATAACTCTGAGCATCTGCTTCTTCATTTAAGCAGCTAGATGAAAGCTTTTCTGATAGAAACATATTGAGAGTTACACAGAAAAGCTTAAATTTACCAGAATGAAGGATGATGCCGCTGTCAGTGTCGCTGATCTCTCCCGTTCCTTCCATGTCTGTACATTCACTCGTTACTGCTCTTCAGCTGTGGAGGACGATGTAGAGCCACACCCATACCCTGTCAAGTTTGATGTGACAATTTAAAAAACACTCAATAAAAAGTTTCCAAGATATTTGACTTTTGCTACAAAAAAAACAAACAAAAAAAAAAAACATGTAGCAATGGTGTGACTGTTTAGGTCCTTAAAACGCCTCATAAGGAAATAAAATTATTAACAAAACCCAGACCTCATTAAACACACTTCCTTGTTGAACACTACTGGCATTTCAGCTAATTTTGCTTTGAATGACCACAAAAAAATTTTCTTACAAGAAATTTTGTAAGAAAATCATGAAACAGATGAAAAAGTTCTGTATAAAACACGATGACAAGCAGTTAGACAAGCTTAAAGGAAAAGCAGCCAAAGCTAAAGCTAAGGCCAACGTTGAACACAAGCTTTCCCGTGATGACCTTATGTCGTAACCCGCTGCTTCAGTGATTCAGGTGTGACGTGAAAGGTGTAGTCACAGAGCATGGGTACAAACACATGCTCTGTCTAGGGTGTTTCCTGCGTCTGCATGCTTGTTGTCTCTGACATGACGATGGTTGTTAATAACTGGCCCGGGTCACAAATCCACCGGATGTCTAATAAAAAACAAGCTGGATTAATTATTAACTGGATGCCTACAGGAGTGTGACGGTGACTGCATTCCACCAGACAGGAGAGGGCTACTAGGAAGCCTCCCTGCAGTGATTGCAGGGACGACGGCGCGGATTTGAGCTTCTATATCGCTGGTTCCAGCACAGCGTGACACCCGGGAACATACAGGGAGTAATAAAATCTACTCCTTTATCACCCAGGACATAAGCTGAAGATGACACTCATCCTCCTCTGAGCTCATCTTACTCTGACAGGAGCCAACTCGCAGATAAGGTCCTGTTGTTGTTGTTGCAGAATTTAGGTGAACCGACTCAGGCACAGCAGATCATTCATCACTGACAGTTACAAGAGAGCCAGTAGACGCGTGCATGCACCATCACGTTATGCAGTCTAGTAAACCCACAAACACAAAACCTGGGATACTTTGCCTGTTGATAAGTTAGTTTGGTTTACAGTTTAAAAGCTACATGTAAATAATCAGTAATAAAATAATTCTGAACAAGTAAAAATACATTTTCTTTAGGAAGACCCAAAATGTGTTCGAAGACCTCAAGTTAACACAATGAGGTCGATTTTAGCTGTAAAAAGAACATAAAACAATTTTGTAAATAAAGCTGTTATTGTCCATTAATTTATGTAAACAACATATTTTCCGAGTAGTTTAGTGTTCTAGTCAGTCAGCTCACTAATTACTTAGCTAGTTGATTTTTTTTAGTACTAAACAGAATACTCCTGTAAGATGTACCTTTTACTTTGAACTAGATCTGTTAGATTACATTTAAAACCATAAAATTTCCAAAACTTCAAATTTTTTAAATGTTTTACATTCAACAGAAAAGCCCAAACTCTTTAAAAACAGCATTAGCCCCTGACAGCAGAGTAGTTGAGTTTTTTACTTACTTTAACAGAACATTCAAAGAAAAAGAAGCCAAAATCTGAGAGGGATATTGAGTGAACCGTTTCCCTGAGAAATGACGGCTTGGATAAGAAGATTGTGAGCAGCGTGGAGTCTGAACAGCAATGAGAAAGACTCGCCCAGTTGGACAGCACTGCCTGTTGAAGAGGAGGGGCTGCGTGCTCAGAGGGCTGAACGGTTTACACGGTGTCCTGTAACTCTGCTCTGCTGACAAGAATCTGAAACTGTGTCAACAACAATGACAGAACACGCCGAGGAATTACACCTACCATTAACCTCTTATCAGCCTACTAATGCATGAGCAGCAACTTACCCGAAACCAAGTCTGGTGTCAGGAACACCAAGAACGCTCAGGTTTCATTAACCAAACTGATTCACTTACGCAGAAGAAAGGTTATAAAAAGGCTTTTTGACTTTAACTGATGTTCAAAACAAAGAAACACTACATTTCTATATTTACCTTTGTTAGGACTAAATTACTAACATTTCATACCACAGTCACATAATCCAACCACTGTTGGGGGTAACACACAATACAAACGTTACAAAAGCAGGTCCAGTTTTTCAGTAATGAAGTAATTTGGCACATTACTTTAAAAAAAGTGCAGCTGTACAGTACAGACCAAAAGTTTGGACACACCTTCTCATTCAATGTGTTTTCTTTATTTTCATGACCATTTATACATTACTGGATTCTCACTGAAGGCATCAGAACTATGAATGAACACACATGGAGTTATGTACTTAACCAAAAAAGGTGAAATAACTGAAAACTTGTTTTATATTCTATTTCCTTCAAAATAGCCACCCTTTGCTCTGATTACTGCTTATTCACACTGTTGGCATTCTCTTGATGAGCTTCAAGAGGAAGTCACTTGAAATGGTTTTCCAACAGTCTTCAAGGAGTTCCCAGAGGTGTTTAGCACTTGTTGGCCCCTTTGTAAATGGTGACGGTCATGAAAATAAAGAAAACACATTGAATGAGAAGGTGTGTCCAAACCTTTGGCCTGTACTGTATATTAGTTGTTATGATGTCAGTACATGCAGTTAAAAGCACATTTAAATTAGTTTGCACTGATGTATGGGTGAGAAAACTCCAAACTCCCTTCAAATAATGCAGCAGACCAAATCAAGTTGATATTGTGGGATAGCTTATTGTTCATAATGGGTTTCGTCAGCAACAGAGTTAAGTTAATATTACAGCTAACTTGGTTTTACAGGCAGTAAACTAATAAACAGTGTTAAAGGAATGTAAACAGTCACTCCTCTTCTCAGGAGAAGATCCACGGCAAACTTCATGCATTTAACAACTTTAAAGGTGTGGAGCACTGAAAAAACATGTATCAATTATTATTTGTGATTATAATAAGTCACTCTGAGATCTTTCATACAGGCTGAACATAAATAGTCTCCTACACCAATCTCCTGTATTAGCTTCTGTTATAAAATAGGCGGTGAAACTCTAGGATTTAAAAACCCTGAGAGATCTCTACGTCACACTGTCACTTTACATTCATGGACTCGGATTATATTACCCACAGTCCTTTTTCCTGGTTAGACAATGATCCCTAATATTTACTACCATAATGAATATGATCGGACATCAAAGATGACGCTGCCATCTTCTGGTAGTTTAAAATGTAATAAACTGATTATTCTATTATAAATTCACAACTCATTGATTTTACTTCATCATTACTGTGGCTGTTTCATTGTCCCGTTTGACCCCCTGTTCAAAAAAGTTTTGGGGGGGACATATGGCGGTGGGATAGTCCACCAGATTTAAAGAGGCTTGCAGCACCTGCTCAGCGACTGCATGGCTTGAATTCATTCTGAATGTAGATATTCAGCTTGGCTTTCCAGGAATGTTGGGGCTCAGACTCACTGAAAAAAGGTCCGGCAATTCCCAGACACTCAGGGATTGGATCTCAGATGACATGGCACCGGGGAGGGCACCAGTGGCTCTGGTGACAGAGGCTGTAAAGTTTTGGTTCAGTAACGTCTACATTTAGAGCTCACAGTGTGAGCCCAACTCAACACATAACACAGATCCCAGCCTCAAAGAACAGAAGGTCTTCAGCTTCTTCAGGCATGCAGAAGGAAAATCATTTCTAAGTAGACTATTTTTTATCTAACATATGGAAAATAGATAGAAGTATGAAGTTTATGAGAAATATATATAATAATTTCCAAGCAATCACTTGTTTATTCCCTAAAATAATCTTTTTTAAAATTTGTTGTTATCTTTATTTTTTTTAATTAAACTTAGGGCTGAGAAACATAATTTCTGTTTTAATGAGTCATGAGCCACAAGATAATAAAACATATGACCTAGCAGCAGTGGAGGAAGACAATTACCACCCAAAAGACATTTTACTTTACCCGGTGTATAGAAATCAAAAAGAAAAAGTATGATTTCTGCAAGGATCCAGTCAGTCTCATCTAGTACTGGATTATAAAACTGAGGCTGATTTATTAAAAGGAAATAGCGCAAAAACTTTGCGTCAAAGTAAGTTAATACGAGGAGGGATGCAGCAGCTCATTTAGGAAGTGCCATAAAAATAAAGAACCTTTTCTGATCATAATACCAGTTCAGGTTTCACAAACTCTTAGCAACAGCGAGGAAACAAAGCTGTGACAGGTTTAAAAACTCTATCTGAAGGAACCATATAAATGGGATGATTCAAAGAAAGGAAAGCATTACATCAAAGTTAATCCATGATACTTTATGTAAAGCTGTGAAACAGCTCTCACAAATATCCACCCAATCTAACCAGTAGCTGGATCCATTGGGGGTTTATATAAACTAGAAATCCCTCAGAGACAGAGAGCAGATTTACACAGCAGCTGGTAAAACAAATGCTCTAAATACTACTGAGTCCTTCCTTTAAGAGCATGTCTGCATGTTTGCACATCAAGTTACAGTATCACAAGTTTCCCCAACAACTAATTTTGATTCAATAAATATAAAATTTTGATGCTTACATATGAGTGGTGTTAACTATAAAACACCTAACAATCATTAAAGGGACTCTGGAACTTTTTTTTACAATTGGAAACTGATCTTTGAGTCTCTATGAAGCATATGAATCTTTGTTGGGGCTCATAATGGCCAAGGAGTCCTGATAAGTAGCCAAACACAGCCCTATAATGGCAAGACTGGGATGACAGCAAATTCCCAGCCTGAATTATCGCCCCAGTTCATCCCTAGGCTAAATCTGCTAATCTGTTGAACAACATAAACACTTGCTATTCCATGCAACTTAAACTCGCTACGGATGTACAGCAGATGTCACATGTACCGGCTAATAGGGTTGTCACGGTAAACGGTATAGCGGTAAACCCCGGTAAAAAAAGTTGACAATAAAAATAACCGTCCAGTTTTTAAAAAACTAAATTATCTCGGTGGGTTTACCGTGGCCGCGGTTTAGGCGCGGTGACCCTTACCAGCCACCGTCGCTTCTGCTGAAGTTCCCGCGCACACGCACTTTTTAGTTTGCAACCAAAACTTTGAAGCTGAAATAATGGCCGAAGGAGGAGACGGCAGCGCCCAGGACATCCATCAGCCCTCAAAGAAGACTAAATCGGAAGTATGGGCATATTTTGGATTTCTGAAAAATGCTGAGGGACAGTTAATAGAAGACTGCTATCCCGTTTGCAGAACGTGCAGGAAACAAGTGTCTGCAAAAGGCAGCAACACTTTGAATCTAATGACACATCTGCGTGACCATCACCCACGTCTCTACAGCCAGTGCAAGGTAAGTCAACATGAGCATTTTAGCTTAAATGCATGACGTGAGGACTTTTGGTTGAGGGAGAATGCAGCGAGTCACTATATACTGCAGCTGCAGCGTCCTCTGCCAGCATTTAAACCGTGTCACGGACACCCTGTTGCTGGATGAAGCATCTTATTTGTTGATGATGAAGAGAAATATACAATTAGTTCCTTGTCATTGATTTGTTTACTTATTCAGTGCCATTTATACTTGAACATTTGGATTTGATTACATAGTGTAGTAGTTATTTTAGTAATTTGTTTAAAGTGGCTATTTATTTTAAATACATATTTTTTTAAGGTTGACTTGTACAGTGCTCAAGTCAAGTGTGGACTTGAGTTTTAGATTTTCATTTTGATAATGAAGAAAACAAGTATATGAGAAAACAAGTGGTGTTTCTTTGATTTGTTTACATATTGTTTATGTTCCAAATGTTTGGATTTGTATAATTTAAACCTGCACTGACTACTGTAACGTGTTCCAGAAAAAGAAGATATTTGTTCCTTTACTTGTGAAAAGTTGCACTTTTGCTAAGGCTTTGTGTTATTTTAGGTTTAATAAACACTGTTAAACCTTTTCTAAACTATTTCAGTTTGTGTAGAACAGGACTATCAATGCTTTCTGAACATATGCAACACCGTTTAAAAATACCGCGATAATACCGAAAACCGTGATAATTTTGGTCACAATAACCGTGAGGTTAAATTTTCATACCGTGACAACCCTACCGGCTAATGTCACATATCACCACCAGCTAACCAAACAGTGCTGGCTGGTTGACATTGTGCAAACGTTTAACCTGAAGAGGGTGCCACACTGACTGTTTTAGGCTGTAAATTAACTAAAAATTTACTTATTTTATTACTTAGTTCCCTTATTTAAAATTCTTAATAGTACAGATAAAAATGAAACTGTTGTTCTTTAATAAGTAAAGTTTGTTTCTTGTCTTAAATTTTAAAGCATTTCTATTAGGGATGTAAGAAAATATTGATATTGCAATATATCGTGATTATTTTTCCTGTGATATTATATCGATATTCAAAAGCTGTGTATCAATTTTTTGGAAGAATTTACATGCAAACTTTTGTGTATTTTCTTTTCTTTTGATGCAATTCAAATGCCGACCACTAGTTACCAGCAGTGTACAGTGGGTTTTATTTCCACCATTTAAATGTAAATCCCTCTATTTTGGTTCACATACTTCAGGTTAAACTTGTTACGTGTCGGTTTGGACTGTTTATGGAATTTTCCTACAATAAATTCAGTCTAAAAAAATCGCTAATATCGTTTGACTGAATGTATCTCAATATATTGAGATATATCGGATCGTCTCCCCTGTATCGTATCACCAGAATTTTACCAATGCCTAATTTCTATGTTTCTATATCTAAAGAGGACAATTTAAATCACTGTTAACACAAAACACATACCACTACTGACTTGTGAAACCTCAACGTGACTTACTAAACACCCCAGGCCACAGCATTATTCTTCATGGTGGTCTAAAGATTCACAACTTAGTGAATTCCCTTTTCTGACTCAGTCTAAATTAGTCCATAGCTCACTTTGTGCTTGAATCTATGTGGAGGCACACAAGTGCATCAGGGTTCATAATCAGTGCAGTGTATGTAGTTCATCTTGCTGAGTTTGAACAGGTAACAAAGAGCATACCTCAGCAGGTGAGGCTCTCATTCCTACGTGCAGGCTGCCGTGAAACAGCTGCCCTGTTTCTAAATGGATCAGAACTTTTAATACAAGAAAGTCCAGGTCCTGAAGAACTTAAATGATTAATGAAACTCTTTAGAGACGATAAACTATTTAGGAAAATGTTCTCTATCTTAATAGACTGAACTTGTCTGAGCCATTGAGATATTTTTATTTTCTCACCCTCCAAAGTTTGGTAAATGTCTCTGTGATTAAGAGATCTTCTCTACAGTTATGCGAGTTTAAACAGAGCAGGGCTGCTCAGCATGAGCTCTTCATGCCAGCCCCGCTGGCAGGTCGCTGAAGGTACGGGGGGTTAAGCCCCTTGCCCCCAGGTCAGTGTTCAGAAATGTGTAGACGCAAAGAAATTGCAATGCACCAAAATCACATGCTAACTAATGAGATTGCTGCACTGAAGGAGACTAAAGTTAGGAGTGAAAAACTATTAAATATAATAGTTAATTTTGCTGATTTTAAAAAGCCATCAATGAAACTTGCACAACACAGGAGTATTTAGGCTTTCAAAATAAAAATTTTAAGGAGACAATGTGTAGTTTGTATCTTTAATCTCTGGAAATGTCCATCGAAATGTTGTTGAAATGGAACTAAATGATGTCCAGTTATTGAAAAATATTAGCAGCTTTATAACATACATATAACCAACAATTTGGATCTAAAGTTCATGGGGTGCGGGTCTAGCTTCTCTGGGGGCACAACATTAAACGCCATGTTTACCTTTGGCCAGCTCGGGGTCCTGCACCTGTCGATGTCGTCACACTAGATGACTGGCTGGATGAACGACTTACGGAAGTTACGTTACCATGTTCAAAAACATTTAGGCAGAAAGAAACACAAATTTAATAACACAACTGCAAAAACAAAAATGTGAAAGAACGGAATTGAAAAGGAGATGCAATATATTTTGGCTGAGCGGTATTGCCGTAGTATGATGACGTCATCGGCAGGCGTAAGCCCCCGAGCAGACCAGGAAAGTACAGCACCTGAAAACTACAATCAACATTACATTTTCTCATGGAATTACCTGAAGGACCATGAAAGTAGGGCTGCAGCTATCGAATATTTTTGTAATCGAGTACTCTATCGAATCTTTTATCGATTAATCGAGTACTCTAATAAATTACCCTGTTGTGTTTGTAAACCATTATATCAAAAAGCATGTTATAAAATATGAAAGAACTCTTAAAATGATCAAGCAATTGCCAGTTATTTTTCAAGTTTTATTCAAAACTAGTTTTCAAAACTTCAGCACTTCAACTTTACTTCACAGTAAACAAAAGCCTGTGCAAAAAATAAGTAAACAACCTGAGCCTAGCAAAAACTAGGACAGCTGTTGAAGTAGCGCTGCGAGCGGCTGCGGCCCAAACAGCACCAGAACCGCTCACGACGCATGCGCAAACATGGCTCGCCAGCTATTTCCCTAATAACACACGCCCGTTTTTATTTCTACACTTTTTTTCCACACACAACAAGAATTGTCGAGAAAGCATGTTTGCCGTGGTTATGTCAAATTATACTGATCACACAACATTTATTTACTTTCTTTCGTTTTCCTCCGCCACTCTCATAAATACCTGTGTCCTCCTGCAGCAATCACGAGGGACAACAGATGTCAATAACAACACAATAAAAAGTCTGACGTGTTGCTACCAGACGCACAGTGTGAGCTAAAACTAAGTGCTACAAATGAAAAAGTCGCACAGTGTCAACAGAATATATAGCGGACCTCAGAGTCTGCTTGCAGAAATGACATTTACATGTGTAAACGCCTTACGACGTGAAAAATGGTCCCACACCTTTGACATTTTCTGTCTATTTCGCACTCCACCGGGGTCCACGTTGTCCGCCATGGCGTAAGAGAAATTAAGTTACATTCGCTACTTGCGTGTGTATTCAGTGCAGTGTGTATGTGTGTCACTTATTTCGGTCCGGGTGAAACATGACCCTGGGCGATTGCAAAGCCATGAATTAATTAAACATGAATTAAACGCAGCCTTGAGGCAGAAAACTTGACTCCAGGCTTTTTTGTACTCAAATTATTCGAGGAATCCTTTCAGCCCTACATCAAAGTCTGAGAAGTCACGCCAAGGTTACATGCTTTCTGCTCCACAGGTAACATTTACCGTAATGTTTTTTTTTTTTAAATTAGCAACAGTCAGGAAGATGTGGTGTAAAACTACCCTGAAATGTATGTATGTACTGTCCCCTAGTGGCATGGCAGTGATTTATGTTAGGGAATAGATGTAAATCCTTTGAGAATCTGCATTACAGTTTTAAATTTCAATAATTTTTAAGAATATTTGAGGGGGGAAAAAGGTTTTAAGCCTTATGTGTTGTGTTAACTAGTAAAATTAGTACTTGTTTACTTCACCATTCCCATTAGAGGTCTTATTTAAACTTTATTTTGGGTTTCTGAGAAAAGAGGATGTTGAATTTTATCACTTCTCTGTAAAATCAAATAACTTTACAATTTTAATGGTGCAACTCTGAACTTGCCATATTCAGAAAAAATGACACGTGAAAAAATAAGGAAAGACAACGTATTTTACAAGAAGTAAGATGTCTGCGTCAGCACTAATGAGTTGCTTGTTGCTGATAACTGACAGCTAAAGATATAAATCTGAAAATAGCACCGCTGCATAGAACATAACGTGCATATTTATACCACTTTGCTAGCTTTATTTAACATAATTCGAACAACACGTCTTACTACAACATACTGTGCATAATCATGCAAAATGGCAACCTCTCTCTTTCTGAAGGATACGTTCAGAACTCAAAGCATGAGCTGCATAACTCAAACACGGGGTTATTTATCAACTAATACAAATTGCTGTTACTCATCTAAAACAATGCTCAAATTTCTATAATTTAAATGAAAGATTTCAGGTGGTTTGGATAAATTAACTTTTATATTAAAATTAATTTTAAATTTAAGATAAAAAACAATATAAGGCATGCTTGTTATTGTTATGGTATGATGGCTTAAGCAAACAGCAAATATATCATAATTCAATCTATTCATGACAACTAAAAATTGCTCTGGTTTTGCATAATTTCTCTATGATATATTTAAAACTCATTTAGTTTAATAAACTGGTCTTCCCCATTTTCTTTTAAAACAATTCAGTTCATTTACATGTGCGAATGACAGAAGCAAAAAGAAATTAACAAAATATCCACCAGACCTGGTAAAATGCCTTTTGTAATAAGTAGAATTTTCAAAGATTATTTCCAAAGCTGCAAAGATTTATCCAAATTTTTTTGAGAATGAATTTTTAAAAAGCTTTGACAAGAGAAGAAGAGTAAACAATCTTTTATATAGCGCCTCTCAAGATAAAAATCATGAGCTACTTTACAAGAACAAAAAACTTTTTTAAATCTAATTTTTTTTAATCATAAAAATGGGAAAAGTAAAAGTTGTGATTAGAAAAAAATGTGAGGGAATGGAAAAAGAAAACAAATAAGATAAGTAATCAGTGGATGCTGGGAAAAGGCAGAATTGGTAAAAAGAGCAGAGGGTGGTGATGAAGGTCACGCAAAAACCAGCCTGAACAGGTGAGTTTTCAGCTGCTTTTTAAAGGAGACCACTGAGTCCACTGATCTCAGGCTCAGGGGGAGAGAGTCTGGGGGTCACAGCAGCAAATGATCCGTCACCTTTGGTCTTTAGCCTGGTGCTGCACAACCAGTAGGCTTTGGTCACTGGACCTCAGGGACCTGCTGGGGGTGTAGGGACTGAGAAGATCACCAATGTATGATGGTGCTTGTCCATGTAAGACCCTAAAGACCAAAACCAGGATCTTGAAATGAATCCTGAAGTTGACTGACAGCCAGTGAAGCTGGAGGAGAAGCGGGGTGATGTGGGTGTGATTGGAGGACTTGGTCAGAAGCCGAGCACAGGCATTCTGAACCACCTGTAGACGGTTCAGGGAGGTTCTACTCAGACAGATCTTTAAAGTGCGTTTGAAGCTTTATTATTTTAGATACAACTAGTCTGTTCACTCTAACTATTAACATGAGATCTAGTCTTTCACAGTATAATTATTGGACTTAATTCAATTTAGCACTTTGAAATGAGTCTAGAAAAACTTTTTGATGTCCAACCAGAGGGGTCTTTCTGACACTTTCTTTGATTTCCAGTTTGTAAGATTATGTCAAATGTATTGAATCAATCACTGCTCTTCATTGCAGCCATGAAACCACAAGACGACGATCGGAGAGCAACCATCCAGTTCAGTCACACCGCTGCTGGGCCTCTGCTTTGAAGAGTTTCCAAAAGTTCACTCTGGCACTTTCAGAGGATTGCCCCGAAAGAAAAAACTGACGCTCAGCTTTCAGTTCATTTTGTTCAGTCTAAGTTCAAAGGCTGAAAGCGACCAAACACCTTGCCACGACAAGTAAAAACCCCACGAAGCATATTCCCACGCTTTTCCCTCTTACCTCGATCGGTAGCGATGCTCGGTAGTTAGCTAGCTAGCATCGTGCCTCAGCTACATCCATCTACTGTGCGCTCCATTGGCTCCATACTTACTCCCTTCTAGATCTAGGATGGAAGTTTCAATTTCACATTGGCAAAAACGACAGATAAGTGACGTTTATCCAACGTGTTTACAAACACAACTGCGGTAAAACGAAACTTAAAGTAAAGTTCGGACCGCAAAACACAACTGTTGTTGAAAAAGATTCTACGCGAGCACAGAAAAGTAAAAGCAATGCGGCGCTGCTTTCACGTACAGTCGGAAACGAGATTTGATCAAACTACCTTTCACCATGGTAACAAGTCGCCAGCGAGAAGTTAAAGTAAATGGAACATTACAACATTGACACAGGAGACATTTATGGCGAGATTTTTTTTTCTGGCATACCATTCATATATTTACTGCAGATACTGTCCAGTAAAGCTAGAACCACTAGAATACTTTGTTTGATGTTAACGAGTGGATGAGTAGATCTTCATGTTATGTTTTCTTTTCAAAAGAATGAAAAGTTACGAGGCTAAAATTGGGTTTTGAACGCATCAAATGCATCATGAGTTGTGTGTGCAGTTTACGGGCAGCGGATAAAATGGGACTCTTTAGAAAACATAAGGCATTTATGATCCTAAAAAAACATTATCTCATCCCTTTATGTAGTATTTTTAAACACCTGCTAGTTGTGTGAAAACCTGGGAGTTTAACCAAAGTAGTTTTTTTTACATTAGATTATGCTTTATTTTTTTGTGTGGCCATTTTAAAGAACTTGAAAGATGGCCTTTTAAGTGACCCCTCAGAGTCAAAACAAGTGGCAGGCAAGTATTTGCGCTGTGCTTTCAAACCACTAGAGGTCAGTACAACATAGCATATGTGACTACAAATCCGTCTTCTTCTGGTTTTAATAGATCAAAATACTCCAAATGCATTCACTTAGTTTGTTCCTCAACAGTGGAAAATTTAATAGAAATAAGTTAAAGGAAAATTTTTTTTTACTGGCGAATCTAAACAGATTCAAACACTTTCAGATTGTTGTCATAAATTCAAAACAAATCCATTTTGTTCCACTAAACTTAAAGGAAAATCTAAGCCATTATATTCTTACAGACTTTTAAAAATCAAACTACTAACATCCTTAAAGTAAACGTTTGGGACACGACATTCACTTGCGCATATACACCTTTTTCATCATCTTACCAATAAATCAATATTTTCCCATTTTCAGGAATCATCATCATGATCATTTTTATTTATGTAGTGCTTTCAACAACAAGTAGGATGATCCAAAGTGCTGAACAAAGCATCTAAAACCAATTTAAAGTACGGGAACATGCAACAGATAAGATCAGTTTAACATAACAAATACATAAGTCCACTGCGAGAACTGATTCTTTCTACCTGTGCCAATCAAAGGTTCCTACTAGTAGGTAGGCGTGAGAGTGACATTTCTTCAGTTGGCCAATCAGTCCATACTGTAGGACGCTGAATACAGTTGGCTGAGCATGAAACAGACTGCAGGGAAGCAGGGCCAAAAAAGTAGTTGGCTTCACATGAACAACACACATCCAATGGCAGTGTAAATTAAATAATACCACCCAGACCAGATTGAGATGATCGTGGTGTAAAGGGGCTAAGGCACTGACCATTTATGGCAGAATTTTAGTGTATAGGAGGCAGGATGTGATCCCAAAACACCTGAGCACAGCTTTAGGAACAGTGTGACAGTAAGTATGCACTGTTTTATTGGTTTGGAAATAACAGTTTTTTTTTTTGCTGAGCTAAAGTAAATTTTTTGTGAGAAATCTACACAGAGTTTCAAAAGATGAGGCCCCAGGACATTACTGTTTATTCACAGCCCCATCTTTTCCCAACAGTGAGGTGCTTTCTGATCTCAGTGTCTGCTTTCTGGCTGCCCCAGTTTCAGTTAGAGCTAGGTTTGCAGAGGTCACACAGTCTTGTTGGAAGAAACAAGGAAACCACATCAAGTTGTCTCATTTATTGGCTGCAGCGTTGGCATGATCTCAATGTGACTGCTTGCATCTTTGTGGTTTAACTGTGAAAAATGACTGAGGAGTGTCACTCTGAAAAATATAGGGCATCTGCTTTTGGAGTTGGGCAATGTTGCAACAAATAAAAAAGAAGAATTAAACACATATTTTATGCTTTCGAAAGCATAAAATACTTTTTATGTAAAATTTTACTCTTTTGCATGTTCATCTCTTAAAAGGACTATATCATGTAAAATCCATTTTCGGAGCTTTTGACCATGTTATATTCCTATTTCCTCATGAAAACACCCCCAAACGGTATTTGGCTTCATGCATGCATGTTCCCGTCTCAGCCTGGATGGGGCATGGTTGTGTCATCATGCCCCACTCCTCCCCATCTAGGTAATGATGGATGTGAATCCTTCTTCCCCTGGACTGTAAACACTGAGATTTAGCCTCTCCATGTAGCCAGGGGAGTTTTCAATTCAAATTCAATTCAAAGATACTTTATTAATCCCAGAGGGAAATTAGAGTTTCAGTACACACAATTCTGAGATCAGACATACATACATACATAGACACATGACAAGAATTGGTGACTGAGGTCATTCGCAACCCGAGTCGCGCTACCTTAATAGAGATCAGAGGGGTTTACATGAGGATTGGATCAGGTGGAGGAAAAAAAATGCACTTCAGAGTTACCCTCCACAGAGAGGGCAGCTTTGCTATGCAAAAAACACCTCAGACAGAAATGCAACAGACTTCAGACATTACACAACATAAGTGTCCACTAGGTGAGGTGGTAGGGTTTGGCACTCTCCACACGTCAGTGAATGCAGCCACGATAAGCAGCGCTCGTCACCTCAGTCTGGACAGGGGGAGGGGGTCGTTGGGTTTAGAGGGCACAGTGACTCCTGGAACGATTCAGCGGCCTTCACAGCTCGCAGTCCCGCCCAGGCTGTAATAGGGAGACAGAGTTGCCATAGCAATGGCAGCATTCCGCGTTTCTTCGGGGGGGGGGGGGGGGGGGGGGGGGGGGGTTCGTTTCAGCCTCGTAGGCTCAAGGTCACCAGATTCAGATAAGAAATCGTTTTGGGGCCAGACATAGATAATTTCATCTCTGTCTTAAAGTTCCGTTGGTCCTAAACCTTTCAAAGTCCAATAATGGCGTAAATTAATCTATCCCAATCCGTGCTGATTTGTCCACTCGCTCCTTGATCGCATCCATCTTTTGTGCCAAAGCCTGAATCCCAGCCAAAGTTCCAAGCTTACGACTCATCTCGACAATATATGAGTCTGTGCATTTACAGTGCGGTGCAATCCATCCCTGAGCTCCAGGAAAGAGCCAATATTCCTCAACAGCTCATTAATTTTCCGGTAAGCCAGGTATCTCCCAGGCCAAAAAACAGGAAACCTGACACCAACACCACAAATATCCAGACGTCTTCAGAATCCTCTACAGACAGTTGAGAGAGGCAGATCAGGTTCCACTGTTTCCAGGAGTCTATGACATGCCCAACTGGATCTGTCCCAGAGGGGCATCCGGGAGCCCCTTCTCCCGTTCTCATCGTTGAGAAAATTTTGTCAATCGCATTGAGAAACCAGCTGACCAGGTCCATTCTTAATAATTTCCAGTCTCCAGAAAAAATGTAGAAGCGCCATACACCCAAAGACAGACAAAGAGCCTTCGGGATAAGATAGGGAGGAGAGGAGGAAAAAAGTGTCTGTACTCTCCAAGAGCCAGAAGAAGAAATATGTATGACTTTAATCTCCACGGTTGTAAAAAAGTATTTCTTTTTATCTAGTCTGCTTTTTAAATAATGTCTCGAACTCAAACATGGACCTTTGTCTGCAAGAACAGGATCCCTGTCCAGTCTAATGCAGTTTAATCTGCTGAAATTGTTGGAAAGGCCACCAAGACCGTACCTACACTAGTAGACAGTTCACCGCTGCTGGCACATTGCAAAATCTGCTTTGCTGGGGATCTAGGGGTTACGTTTTGAAATGGGTGGAACTCGCACGGGGAGGCGGGATTTCACCACATCCAAACATCTCATTTCCAGATAGGAATAATGGCTCACAACAGTAACCTATTTAAACAAATAACTATTACTAAATTGTGTAAGAAAAGAACAAAAAAAAAAAGGATAACAGTAACTTAAATTTAGAAAAAATTACATCTCAGAAATGGTAAATGGCCTGTATTTTTTTAGGGAACTGCAGATTATTCCGAACATATTGGGGAATGCTCAGTATTCAACGTACCCTGTCCAGACTGACTTTTTTTTTCTCAGCAATGGCTCTTTGTGGCATCGGTTGTGTGTTTGGGGCTGTTGTCTCTGTAATGAATCAGGATTTGTTCAGTGTTTAGGAAACCATTATTTCAGACTGAATCTCAACCTATCAAGAACTGCAGCCTCAAACTTGTACACCACCTCCTGCTTGCTCCTCTGTTGTCTGTAGATACACACTGCCCTGCTTTTCAAGGCCTTTGGCTAACTAAGTGTTTCTAATCCAGGTAAATGATTCAGATTTTGCAGTACAGATCAGCTGTTACCATCTTCTGTACTCAAGTTCTTCTAATTTGGGGAAGTTGAGTTACTTGAACTTGATTTTGTCTTTTTCACTTCAGTTCTTTCTGTTTGGGCATCCCCCAAAAGAGAGGAGGGCGACCTTTGGTCCTGAAGTACAAGCACCTCTGATTTCAAAAGGAAGTAAGCATCTTTATTGAGTGCTGGATCTATAACTGATCTCTTGGTGTTTTAGAGAGCTCGAGTGATTCATGTTGAAACTCAGAAACAGCTTTAAAATCTGTTTAAGAGACCTTGCTGCTGTAATTTACTTTGGGTCTCACTGCAGTGACAAGCCGACCCGAAACAACTTCTTAATAGCATTTAGGTTGTTTCTCGTTCCATTTTAACCCTCCCGCCTCATTTCCTGTTTAACTCAATGATTGTTTGAACTGAACGTGCAAAAGTGTTTCCCCCTTTTGTGATTAGATGTTTTTGACTTTCTTTAGTCACAATTAAATGTTTCAAATGAACAAACAAATTTCTACTTCAGACAAAGATAATCTGAGTATTAAAGAGCTATTTCCAAATGAAGATTTTATTTCTCAAGGAAAACAAAGTCATCCAAACCATCCAGGTCCTACGTGCAAAGTAACTGTCCTCTAAATTTGATAACTGGCTCTAACATCAGTAGCAACCAAGTCTTGACTGGTGGTGAGCCTCTCGTGTCGTTATGGATGCATTCTGTCCTGCTCTTCTTTACAGGGTGGTTTTATTTCAGCAAAATTGGAGGATTTTCCAACATAAATATCCAATTTGAGGTCAAAGGTCAGATGTTCTCATTTAGGGTTTTCTGCTTGAAAGTAGAATTCTTGGTTCCATCATATACAGCAAGTGGTCCAGGTCCTGAAGCAGCAATATGGTCCCAGATCATCACACTACCACTGCCATGTTTGTCTGTTGGTAAGTTTTCCTGATAGTCAGTTAGTTTTACTCCAGGTGAAAAAATACATTAAAACTGAAGGAAATGGGAGAAAATACTTTGTCACGTCTGTGCATGTATCACTTATAATCACCAGCTGACTATGGTGGGTTAATTAAATTCATTTCAGTTCAATTCAAGTTTATTTATATGGCACCAAATCACGACAAGAGTCGTCTCAAGGCACTTCACACAGTAAACATTCCAGTACAGGTCAGTTCATTACTCCAGTCGGTAAAAAATTTCCTATATAAGGAATCCAGCAAACTGCATCAAGTCACTGACCAGTGTCAAAGTTTTTAAAGCAGTCCTCATACTAAGCAAGCATGCAGCGACAGTGGAGAGAAAAACTCCTTTTTAACAGGAAGAAACCTCCAGAAGAACCTGGCTCAGTATAAGCAGCCATCCACCACGACTCACCGGGGATCGAGAAGACAGAGCAGACACACACACACACACACACGCACGCACGCACGCACGCACAAAATATGTAATGTTTCTATGGTTACATTGTGATTTCATAGTAAATATTCTCTCTTAGGTGAGAGATAAACTTTATTGTATTTATCCTAGTGAATCTATAATTAAACAGGTAAACTAGTAGTAGCACATTCAATGTCAAAGAAAGTAAAAAGTTATTATCAGGAGAGGGAGAATGATTAAATGGTTAGCAACAGTGTTCAAGCCGATGGCCCCCTCCATGAGGCCACCACAGCTCAGCAGAACATCATTGTAGCTTCTTCTGGGGAGAAAAACACTTAGAGAAATAAAAAATTATGTAAATTTAATTACACAAATATAAAAATGTATATTTTGGTCAGTTGCGTTAGTAGACAAGAATGAATCCATATTTAATAAATTATTAACAATTAATTAAAGCTCTTATTTTTTTTCATATTTAAAGTTTCTATCTTAAAAAATATACCTTAAATGCATCTTTTCAGGAAAAGACCAGAAAAAATCTTCACTCTTTTACATGAAATGAACTTTGTTAAACCACAAACTCTTTTGATACTTTTCACCGGATCCCATGAACTCGTGAACAGAAACGAAGGGAAACCCATAAGTTAATTTTGGCATAATGATGAAAATGATGAAAGGAGATACAAGGTTTGTCCTCGACAACGACGATTCGTAATTCGTTGGTAACAAAGGTTTTGTCATGCTTGCTTCAGACTGTCTTGCTCACACCTTTATTTGTATGTTTTCTAGATTTCCTGCCAATGCAGCTCATTTTGTTCTGTGATGAGCGTGTGTCTTCTCCTCCTGCGATTGAGGCTTGTCTACCTCTGAAATCGTTCAGTTGGAACAAGAAGCAGTTCTACAGATTATTCATTTTAAAAGTTGATGGCGAGGTCATGCATGTGGAATGAGATGGTGAGTTTAAGATGTCATGAATGAGTAAGACGGCTACAGAGGAAACGGCTGCACTGTGAGAACTATCCAGGTTGGCAGTCTCATCATTAACATGCACTGAAACTGGCAACAGACACAAACAGAAACTTGATAAGAACTGAGTGGTAAGGTCTCACCTTTCAGTCTGTGTGTGTGTGTGTGTGTGTGTCCAACTGGCAGTTATGATTCTCATTAAAGACAAACAAAAAGTTTCTGTAATACACGAACAATCTCCCATAAGAAACAATAAGAAACATTTTTTTCCACTTAAACTCCATCTTAATTAAAAATAGCAGATTTCACTTTTCCTCCCTGCTTGACCAGACGTAGACACGGATCACGTTCTTTCAGGTATTTTGAAGAAATAAAGTAAAAATGTTGAGGGACTCCAAACCAAGACACACCACTTTCCAGAATCACATCAGCAAATACGTATATACAAACATTTCCTGTCGTGAGAAGTAAACCTGAACTTGTCTGGGTAAAAGGGCTTTTGGCGTTTATTAAAATACAAAAAAAGATTGCTCCATTTTTTACGTCACATCAGATTCGTGCTGACTCTGCAACTGTCACCTTTTGAATATTCAATTCAAGAATATGAGCATTTGAGGAGGGAAACATCTCAGAGCAGAAAGAAATCACGCAGAATATGTGATGCAAGTAACCCTCTTAAAGCTGGAGAGGTGGCCAGTGCATCTGTGTGTGTGTGTAGGTTTTAAACAGCTGTCGCATTAAAACTGAAGCCAACCAGCATCTGTGCAAACACAATTCACACCTTTTTCCACACGCTTGTAAATTAAATCTTATCTGCAAACCATTTCAAACACCGCTCGCAGGTCTTTGTTTTTCCCCACTGAAGGTTTCTGAAGTTTCAGAAGTTTGAAATAATAGCACCTACCTGGTGGAACACAGTCAGAATCTCTAAAGAAATCAGCTATATCAAAGGTAAGTTCAGGGTGAGAGATTTTACAGCATCTGTGACTCAAATGAAAAATAAAATACAGTTATAAAAACTGCAAGTGTGTTGTTCAGAGAGAATAAGGGGAAAGTCTTGACCCTTGTGCCCTGATGCCCGTAGTTTGGCATCTAACCTTCTTCTGAAACCACCTGATTCATTTCGAGTGAGACGTGGGCACACAGATGAACGTTTGAACTTTCAAGAACCAAATGTTCCATTTGAATCTTCAGATGTTACATTTTAGTCATAAAGGATATCTGGTGTCCAAACGACTTCATACAGTCTCAAACATGTGGACATGGCACAGGAATCAGAAATGCAAATCGTGTTTTCTATTTGTGATCACAGCAGTTGTTACTCCAGAGAACTTCTGCTTCCTTTCACAACAAAAGAAGAAACTTTTCGTTTCCTGTTTGTCTGCATTGGAAGACTTTGGGCTGCAGAGTTAGCCCCTTTATGTTTTCTTTTAACCTTTGATTTAGTTTTTTTGTTTTCGTCTTTTATTGCTTTTTATTTGAACGCGGATGAGTGTCTGGAACAGAGTCCGACAAAGACAACCTGCGAGATCTGTCTGGTTGGAAATACAAAACAGACAAGAAGATGAACAATATCAGGTGAAAAGGGAACAGAGTGCACAGAGAAAATCTCACAGGTAGACATGAAGTTAAACTTTAGGATGGGGTGAGGGCATTAAGACATATACAGTGAGACATATATGGTCACGGTTTGTTTCACAAGAAAAAAGAAGAGATTTGCTTAAATACAGATAAATGTTCTAATCCCTCATTGTGCAGTCATCATGACATTTTTTGAAAAATGACAACATTTTATGAGTTCTTGTGAATTTATTTCTTCATTAATATTTTGTTTGTTTTTATCTATAATATAAAGAAATATGCTTTTGTGAGCAGCAAAATTATAGACGCACATCAAGAGCACTTCTCTAAAACATTTTACTGTTGTTCTCATAAAAACTATAAAAATTTACTGAAAGTACTGAAACAAAAATATTAAACTAAAAGACAACATCATTTCTAAACTGTGCTTTCAGAAAACTTAAAATACTTTAATGACAATTAAAGCTCTGACTAATTACCGACCAAGTGTGGCTGCCGTGGCTCATAGAGCGGGTTTAGTGTAGTGCATGTATTGCAGCTGAAATCTTTTATTAGCCACAAAAAATGTATAAATTGACACGTTTACGTATTATTAGCAATTAACAAAATTCTGTAAAAGAACTGCATATTTGTGTTTTTTATTTTTTTATAATTAAAGTAAAATTTACAATGAATTCTACTAAAATGTGCAACATTTTTAAAATAAAATTGAAATATTACATTTAAGTTGTTCAGTTGAAAAATTCCTTTTTACAATATTCTAATTTGCAAATTTTTAAACTTCAGTAATTTTTCTGGACAAAAACCAAAAATGATAAAAAAAATGTTTGTTTCTAGCTTTTATTGTGATAAACAAAATGTTTACACTTTACATGACACTATGTATGGACAAAAATATTTTACATCAACCTAACATAAACTTTATCTTAAAGGCAATCAGTCACATTTAAAAATGTTCATATGCTATAACTGATTAATGCTCGGATATAAATGGAACATTTGACAGAAACAACACATCTAATTATTGTTATTTTGTTCAATTTTAGCAGTATTAACAGCATTCTTGATCATTTGAGAAAAGTTAATTAGATTTATTATAAAATAACAGAAATTAACCCTCCCCAGCCCCCCCCCCCCCCCCCTGAAAAAAACAGCTTTCCAACTTTGAAAACAAAATATAAACATCATGTAATTCAATAAATTGAATGTCTTCTTCCTATTTTTTCCAAGCTGCCTGACTGATAAAGAACTGACTTTAACACCTCTGTAGAGAAAAGTCGAAGGGCCTGTCCTCCTCCTACGGGGACATCTGAAGCGGAGATCGCCCACCACTTGTTGCACTCTGAGTTTCAGACGTGCCAGCGTTGGTGAATGAAACAGAGGAGTTGAAACTCTGCAGCAGTTTGGGCTTTCCAGTGCAGTTCTTGTACAGAACAGTTGCCCGTCGTCTGAAGTGATGATCCAGGAAAAAGTAGATGGCTGGGTTCACGCAGCTGTTGAAGAAAGCCAGACAGCAAGAAATGAGGAGCCCGTTACCCAACCAAAACTCAGTTTCGCAGCTGAGATTGACTTTGGCAAGACTGGAGATTGTTGCTGTTGACTTGAAGGTGTTGTAGGGCAGCCAGGAGACAACAAAGGCCACTATGATGCAGAGGACCATCTTCAGAGAATGTTTGTGGCGAGCCTCGGTGCGAGGATTCCCAGAAGCAACGCAGTGCCTGTTGAGGTGCATAACGATGTTCCCATAGCAGAGTGCAATTATAAACACTGGGAAGATGAAAGTGAGGAGGGCAATGGCCAGGTTCATGCAGAGAAAAAACATGGAATCTCTGACTTCCATGCAGTACTGCTGTCCATTGGAGGATGCTACCTTTCTGTAGACCAGAGATGGGATGCCAAGCACAAGGGAGGTGATCCAGAGAGCTGCACAGGTGATCCGGATGCACTGACTGCTCCTGAGGTACCTGGAGTCCATCATCTTCACAATGGCCAGGTAGCGGTCAACACTCATGCAGGTGAGGAAGAAGATGTTGGAGAAGCGGTTGACAGAAATAATGTAACTGCTCAGTTTACACAGCAAATCACTTGCTGACCCAAAGCTCCACTGGTTGTCCTGGCTGGCGGAGATGGCCCACAGGGGCAGCGTGATGACAAAGATGAGGTCAGCAAGGGCCAGGTTGACAACAAACGTGTCCACCAGACGACTTCTCCTCTTTCCTTGGCTCCCCACCACTGAGATCACCAAAAGGTTGCCCCAAAATCCAGTGAAAAATATGAGGTAATACATCACAGGCATGAAAACGTTGGAGCCACGAAGGCTCGAGAACCTGCAGCGGTGGTCATCTGTTTCATAATCAGATTCATTACCAGTGAAGTTGTCATAAACATAATCTTCGTAGGTGTTCATGCTGAGGGACCAGAGTGAGATTCTGCTGTGCAGCTGCTACTGTGGCAAAAGTTAAGTCAACCTACCGCCTCATCACACTGCTGCTCACTATTACGAGTGTAAACCACAGAAAGAAAGAGATCCTTTTTTAGTACCATGTCTCATCATATGTCAGAACCACCTTCCTTTTAGGGGCATCACTTCTTCTGCTTCTTCTGCATCTTTTTCTCGTGACATTGGCTGTGTGCTGATGTGAATATATATAATGACAACTGCAGCAGATGTAATGCATGAGCATGTATTTGAAGCTTCTCTGGTATTTTCCTGCATATATTTTCTCAGCGCTTCAGTTTTGCACAGACTCCTATGAGTACAAGGTCTTTCCATGTATGTTTATTTATTTCTATCACAATAAATATGTAGTAGTGAACATGGAAAAGGCATTTGAACTTCTAATGTTTTCTCGTGACCTGAAGCCTGAAGTATTTTTCCGGCTTCACTGCCTCCCCTGACCAATAGGGGGCAGGTACGATTCACTTGTTTTACCAGGAAAGGGAAGCAACCCAACACAGATAACTTTTCTTTCTTCTGTTTCTTAGTTTTTTGCACTTTCTTTTTTTGTTCACCTTTAATTATGAAATTGGGATTTTTTAAAAAAAACAATAACCTGGTCAATTTCAAGTGAATTATATTTGACAAGAGTCTAATGGATAACTCAAAATAAAAATAACATTTCCTGAACAGTGAATGAGAGTAATTAAGAGATTATAGCACAGTTTCGTGCAATATTTAATGTTTTTATAGCTGCTTACAAACAGCTTTGATTTGCAATATCCCAAGTTTAAACATCAGAAAAGTTTCATGTTTATTACATTTTCATTTATGCTTAAGCACATAGAGTTCCCCTCCATGACAAGCTAGCGTTGATCATTGTGACATCATGATGACATTCTGAATAGAATAAAATGAAAATAAAACGCTAAAATAAAAATGTGGTTTGATTATTAAATGAGTGCATCTAATATCTGGCTGATTTTTATAAGGTCTCTGATCAGCTCTATCAAATTATTGGTTCAAGATCAGCCCTAGAAAATAAAAGTAAAATTATTAATTAGCTGTGTCTGTTGTTTTATAAAACAGACGCAGTTAGCTATTGTATCTGAAGCTCTAAATCTTCATTATTTGCAGATGCTTGGTAAAAATCGTCATTATCTATCATTATTCATGCTTTAGCTTTAGGCGACTGCAGCTTTTACACAAGTAAGTACTTTAAGAGCCTTCAAGCCTGCAGGTTATCACATTTTCCCTCCTATCAGGATGTTTGATTTGTATTTTTCTGCACTCACCCTCTCAGGTTTGATGTGGCTTTTGAACACGCCGAGAACAGACATTGAGAATGACAGGAAGTTCTGCACAAAGTTTATGAAGCCACTTTAATTAGAACGGATTTCAAATATAATATAGTACAATAGAATAGCCTTTATTGTCATTGTACAAGGTACAGTGAAATTGGAGTGCCAAATGTGTCTCAGCAGTGGAATTATAAACAAAGAGCATTAATGACTTGAGGACGCCAGCAGTGAGACTATTAAAAAATAAATTCTATCTGATTTCCAGCTCGAGTTTCAGTGGCTTATGCATTGTGTCAGAGAGAGATCTTTACTCAGAGTCAGGTAGGCAGTGGTTAATGTTAGAGTAATGTTCATGAGCCCAGAGGAGGCTGCATCGTTCCTGAACAGATATTTGTCATAATTGTAACCATGTCAAAATTTCCAGCTCTTGTTTTTTTTATTATTGCCACTGGGAAGGTCAGGGGACAAACCTCGTCTTACGAGAGAGCACCTCATTGTTCTGGAAGGAGTTTCCTTCAAGAAACACAGAGAATAAATGACCACCCACCCCCCTGCCCCTCCCAGATTCTCACTGCACTTTCCAGTATTGTGCATCATTCAAAAACTCTTTACTCCGTAATGTCAAAGTGATGTGTAGATTTTCTCATCACAACAGAAAATCCCGTTAGTCCTCATTGTTGGGGTTGACGTCTTTCACCTCTCTCAGCTGTACCTTCTCTTTGGAATAAAACAACAAAAAAGTTTAATTATTTCTGCTGCATTCTTGCTGCTCCGTCAGTGGAACGCTACATTCCTCTCCTCGAATTAGTGCTGTCTCACTCCAATTGAGCAGGGTAAATGTGAGAGCCAGTGAATGGAGCAGCTTCAATGGGAGAAAATAAACAATTGCACTGGTCCATTGGTGCAGCGGGGGGAGAGCAGATGAGAGGAAGGGGAGAAAGGCCTGCCTAACGTGCTAAGATTCCCATGGATACTCAGTCCTTTTTCTGCCCAGATGAGGTTCTTGTAAAGCAGCAAGGTGACTTCTCTATTTTTTTGTTGCAATTGAAAGAAAAATAAGGTATGCATCACTGCTAAGAATTTGCCCCTCGAGGTAAAAAAAAAAAAAGAGGCCGTTGTAGAGGTGTGAAAGGTTTTAACCATTCAAACCAGTTGTTTTCCTGACGTAGAAGACTGCAGAGCAACAGCTCTCCAATATTGTGTCATATGATCTGGTGCAAAGTCACTTCACAGTTACAAAAAATAATGTACTTTTAATTGACCAGTAAACTGTAACTTAAAAATCTGCTTCCTTATTCAGTATTTTCATTTATTCATAGCATTTTTCTGGTTTGTGAATTCACCATCACTAATTCACAGCAGTTTATTATTATTCAAGTTAATCAGATTTTGTACTATTTACTCATTTTTATGGCCTCGTAGAAACCTTTTCCACAATCCATTTAGTTAAACACCTCTACACAAGAAGTCGCAGACACCTGGGTGGTTTGGACCTTGTACTTTATATGGTAGGTGTGAAACTGTAACAACAAATACACTGCATTTGCATCAGTAAGTAAAAACGCACATAAGTCAGAAAATGAATCATAATCATGCTTCATTGCAGCCACAAACAATTTAAGGATGCCCTTTAAACAATACTTGTAAATAGTTCCTTACGTCCTGGATGAACTCAGTTTTGCCATTTTTATAACTAATTATTCATATAAACATCATGTTATCGTAATACTTACAAGGAATGCCCTTTCTGAACTGAAAACCCATGGCTGTCAACACAACACCTTGCTCTCTGCATGCTGCTTCACACTGCCGCGATAGCTGCACAGCGTGGCCTGAACGCTCAACTTCCTGATTCTCTTAAAGAGACAGCGCCCATAAATAGAACACTCCCTGTCTGGTATCCTATAGATACCACAATAAACAAACTTAAACATCACCTGATAACAGGAAAACCATTTCAGATATGGGTCTATAATAGGTCTTAGCAGTCTCTTGTTTAGCAACTTTAACCTCAGCTTTCCTTGTTATCCCGTTTTCACTTGGAACTGTCTTGACAATGACACCCATAGGCCAGGCCACTTTCTCTGACCGCCCCTTCAGTAAAATGTCTTCCCTGGTGGCTGACCTTTTCATGCTGGTGTCTCACAAGGAGGTTGGTTATGTGGTGGGTGCCTGGTAGGATGATAGGGTTAGTTTCCTTTGTCTCCAACCCTGAGCGTGTGATGCGACCACCGACTCTCAGTAGCCCATTCCCAATGAAAGGGTTTAGTTTGATGAGCGAGCTGTGTTTGGGAAGATTTTGTTTTGTACCAATGCACTTGATTTCCTCTGCATATGTTTCTTGCTGAACATTTTTGATAGATGTGTTTTCAGCTTTTCCCATCAGTTCGCAAGTGATGGCTGTGCTGCACATATGCCATCCAGTACAGTCTTTCTTTGTTTTTTGGAGGGAGAAGCTGTCCTCTATGTGAATCAGGTTTGCGACAGTTCTGATCAAGGATTTCCATGAAGAAAACCGTTCCCAGCATTTTGAGTCCAGCACAGTTTTTGAGCTACATGTGTAGAATGTTTCTACCTGTCGACGTACCTAGGGCTGCAACAAACGATTCTTTGGATAATCGATGAATCGGATGGGGTCTCGACACGATTAATCGATTAATCGGATTACATGAGGAAAGTTTTTAAAACTGCTAGGGAAACGTTTTTTCTCTCCTTCCTTCACTTTATTAAACACAACGTTATTAGAACACAGTTCAATAGCAGAAAAACAACATGCTATCACCTAAAATGTCTCACAGCTGCTATTTGTGATGACTGCTGCTTGTTGAGGTGTGCATGATTTGCTTGACAATAATAAGCTGGTCAGTGTTTGTTGTTTTGCCCAGGAGATCATAAAGAATCAAGTCAGCCTATTATGACACAACATGAACTTATAGCATAGCAAGTAAGAAAGTGTTGACTCCACCCAGCCCCTTCCATGTGTACCATGCGGTTCGCCAGACAACACCTCTTTCTGCCTCATTTTTCAAAAAATGAAAAACCAGAAATGAAGCCTTCAGAATACTTTGGAAGGGGATGAGCAAGGGAGGATAAGGTGTATAGACAGAGACCCTAAGCTACACCTATCTGTGACCTAAAATGCTTGGTCCAAGTTAAACAGCTTCAGGCAATTCTCATCTGTCTTGTTCGATATCATCTGTAGACATTTATTATAACTGGGGGTGTCAAATGACTAATTTTTAAATGTAATTAAACATAGGCTGTGAATTAATCAAAATTAATCACTATTTCCAAAAATGACTGAAAAAATACCAAATAAAAGAAAAAAATAATGGATGCCGCCCTCCTTGTGATGATGCCCTGGGAAACCGCCATAAAGTCACATCAACAAATGCTGCTGATCGTTCCAATAATCCCAAATAGACTCACATTAGGCCACATGAAAGCAATTGAACCCAAAAATACATTAACCAGTATATAACTGCACTCTCACACAACATGCCTACAGCAACAGTTAGGACACCCCCCTCCCTTTTAAAAGTGTTTTCGCTTCCAAGGATATTGTGGTTATAAAGCCACATGTTAGTAGTCTGGTCCCGGTGTGATCAACCAGCTTCTGCAGGAATGTGATGGCGGAACCGGTTCACAGCAGCACGAGTCTACGGAAAGACCCCCCCACCCCCGTTTATCTAATAAGCGTCACACTTACGATTTTATATACTTTTTTTTTTACTAGCTTAGGGCGTGTCTAGCCTGTGTAATAATGCGGGACTTGGGTGAATCACTTTTGAAAAGTTTTTAACTTACCCGGACAGAGAGCTCTCTCCCTCCTCGCTGATGATTCCGACATGCTTGCGTTTAAGATGCTGCATCATCACCGTAGTACTCCCGTGCCATGCTAAGTCTGACCTAAACGTTGCAGGTAACGAATGTCTTTGCCTGAGTTAACTGAAAATGCTCCCAAACTTCAGAAGTTTTTACTTTTTGGGTCTCACTGCTTCTGCCATGTTCCTCTTCCAAACACCTGCCGGCTCTCCCTCGCGCTGATCTGACTTGCTCCGGTCTTCGCGGAACCGGGGGGGGGGGGGGGGGGGGGGGGTTTGGGGGACGACGACGACACAACGAATCGATGACGCAATTCGTTCCCAACGCTTTTAATAATCGATTTTCATCGATTTTATCAATTCGTTGTTGCAGCCCTAGACGTACCTCTGCATCGCCATCTGGATCCATAAGCTCATACTTATGTGGTTGTGGCTGGATGTCTGAAGAGCACATCAGGAAGGCTGGCCCTGTAAGCCATGTTGTGTTTTATAACTCTGAGGCTGGAACAGATCGTGAGCCATGGTCGGCAGGGTTTTTATCCGTTGGAACAAAATACCATTAATCTGGTGTTGTTGACTCTCTCATGCGTCTGACATGGTTGCTTACATAAACGCAGAAGCGTCTTGACTGGTTGCTGATATAACCCAAAACTACTTTGCTATCTGTGTAGAAGCTGATTTTGTCGATCTGATGGTCAATCTCCTCACTTATCACTTCTGCCATTTCCACAGCCATTACTGCTGCGCAGAGTTCAAGCCTGGGAACTGTAAGCTCCGGCTGGGGAGCGAGCCGCGTTTTTCCTAGAACAGTGTAGTGGATCAATAGTTGCGTCTTACGTAGGAAACCATCAAAGGTGAGATTCCATAGAAAATATGGGATCAATTTGATGTATCTTTGAATACTACCTTTAATCAGAAGATCAGAACTTTTTATTGCATGGATTAGGTAACACTTCGTAATAACCCAGTCAAAAGAGAGAGACAAGTTTTAAAGTTTAAGAAGATTTATTTCTAAGCAATTTAAAACAAGAATAACTCTAACTTTAAACACTCTATGTGATGCATGGATCTAGGTGTGAATGAGGCAAAATGGATGGTGTAAATGTGGAATGTTGTTATCAGAATTCTCGTTTCCGGAGAAGCATTAGTTCTGTGTGGGAGCGAATGTTTTGCTCTAAACTATAGTCAGAGTTTCAAAAGCCACATTCAGACGCTATCTTGTCGTTCTACATACCCTTGCGGAGACCTCAGTTGCAGATCCAGAATGCCAGGTCCTCAGGACCCCCCTTTGGTACCGGAGCCAATGAAACAGCGTACGGTGCGACAGACTAGTCTTGGCATTGCCTCCAGGTAAGCGGCAGGTGGTTGACAGCATCAGCGGGACCCAGAAGGGTCAGTGAGTTCAGCTTTTACTCTGAAGGAGTGTTACATCAGGTGGAGCTTGCAACAGGTTTTACTTTCCAGCTTGTCGTTAGGTTCTTTGTGGTTATAAAGTTACAAGTGGCCGGCTCGCAACTCTAGAACGTTTGAACTGAGTTAAGGGTGATGTGGGAGTTAGTTTTATAGTTCAGATGTTTTGATTTATGGTTGAATCAGAATTGGACAACAAATATACTGTAAACACCGCACAGATTATGCCACGCATCAGAAAGGAAAGCTCTGATTGGAGAGACAAAGGAATGTGTCATGTGATTTAACATTACGTGTGATCAGTCTGGTGTGTAGTTAAAAGTTATATTACTTATTAAAATAATATCATAGGATTACAATATCAAGTAATTAATATTCTCATTTCACAGATTGATTTAACATTGAGCTTAACATGATTATTTGGACTAACAAAGGTATCTGATTATTATTCAATAGAGAAAAGAGTTCTTGATCTTCTTTCTTCTCTTGAGCTGTAGGGGGAGGCAAATAGCTAGTTAAACAGTTTAGATGCAGAGGCATCAAAAGGCCTTGAGCCATATCTCAGGGAGATAAGTTCTTCCTGAGGAGAAAGGGAAACAGTCCCTTCATGACGCTACAAAAGCCAACTTCTACGGCGTCATCATCAGCGGTAACTTTGAGATAGGCAACAGCACATATTGCTTTCAGTAATGCATCTGAAAAGATGCACAGCTCAACAATTTTAGCTTGAGAGTGGGAGATGTTGGACTACGTACGTGGGATCTGTAGATCACTGAGGCATTGTAGGGACTGTTGCCATTCTGTCCATTTCCCTCTCATGCTTTCAGGCAGGGCTGAATCCCATTCTGTCGCGTACGGTGAAAGTTCCCTCAAGACAAGGGGTGCTCGCTGCAGAACCACAAAGGCGGAGCTGCACCAGAAGGTGGAGCTGCACCAGAGTCAGCCCCGCCCATTCCAGAATCAGCCCTGCCCATTCCATCAGAGTCAGTCTAATTCCTTCCAGTTGTCAGACTTGATAGCATTCTGGAACCAAAGAGGGTGTTATAGCTAAAAAATGCAAGATTGAGGATGGAGTTGAGAAGTTAATTGAACAGTTTTTGTAAAGGTTCCATATAATTGAAAATCTAACTTTTGGAACTTTTAATCATGTTATATTGTCATTTCCTCATAAGAAACATGCCAAAGCAATTTTTAGCCTCATTCATGCATTTCCTCCCATCTCAGCTTCAATTTGGTCTCCTCCCCCGAAGCGGGTCTGGTCTTGGTTCTCAAATCTGGATATTCTGTGAATTTTCTGACAAATTATTTCTGAAATGACTTCTACTGAGACACCGCCGAAAAACCATACAACCCATCTCAGAGACACACTGGGCAGCACAATTAGATGTAACGCCGCATGAGTTATAACAGATGTGGTGGTGTAGTGGTTATGGAGTCAGGCTAAGATGCAGTTTTGCGCAGGTTCGCCTCCCATTACTGTAAGTTTTAGGTAGTGTACAACCTCTTTTCTTCATTTCTAGCTACACTTGCCAGTACTATGTTTACAACAATTTACTGGTATACAGTTTAACATATAATGACTAATGTGTTTTTTATTTATTTATTCGTTTATTTAGCCAGGGTGAGTCCATTTGTGAGCAGAGTTTCAACTAAAATGCTGTTTAGGAACGACCAAATTCAAAGAACTTTTACAGACATAAATATTTTGCTGAAAATAAACATTACAACTAAAATATAAACAAATTAAATGTTTCAGCTGGCTAAATAGATTGCTGACGACCCCACCAAGAATCAAACCAGCATCAGCTGAGGGGAAAGCAAATCTTAACTCAGACGATCTCGCCACTAGACTACCAAGGGCCGTTCAAAAGTTTGAAATGCTGTTATACACCATTTCTGTTAGACCGGCTGTGGGCAGATATTCGCTGAGAAAAGCCTTTTCATTTCGAGATATATTCAGTCTTTGTCATGTAGCAAGTTATATTTATCTTGTTTAATTGGAGCATAGAACATAGCATTAACGACTGTAAACTAGTAACAGCCG